ACAGAAGACCAACGACTCTGAGAGCGGGCAAGGATGGAGGAATGAATAACTGGGTAAGTCGGAATAAGACATACCTTTATGGGAGATGGGACAAGTGTGGATAGCTTCCTTACCGGCAGCATCCGCACGCTCATTTAGAGAGATACCAACATGGTTTGTCTCTCTCAGAGGCTGCAGGATCCAAGTTAGGTACAACTTCTGGTTTCAACTCCTTTACCATGTCGTAGCTCAGTCGATTAAGGCAGCGTCTGGGATGATCTCGGACGTAGGTTCGAATCCTCGTCACGGCCCTTGTGGATTTGTTTATATCAGCAGAACTCCAATGTCTGAAGTTGCAGGGAGCACAATTTCTTAGCCTTCTCAATCACCCAAATTCCTTGTGCATAATCTACATGGTAAATGCTCCAACTTTTTCTATCTGATTTAATTCAAGATTAAAATAAATTAAATATTTCATTTTATTCCATTATGGGCTCAGAATGGCATATAACGTTCATTTGCCTCTAAAAATTTACTTTGAGAGTATAGTTTACTGTCAATGTGCCCTTCACAAAATGCGCAAAATTTAGACGCAAAAATGTTTAACTCCCAAAGTTCTGGGTTTATGTATAAACGGTAACGAGGGCACCTTAGATCTATTAACTGTTCACATATGTAAAAATGGTGGAAATAGCTCAGAAATTGAATTTGAAATCTTGTCAAGTTAAAAATCCTGTTCATTCAGAAAAATGAGGCAAACTTATCGACAATAAATAGTAGTTCGAATTTGTCATATTTTGTTAAATTTTAATAAATATGACTTAAATATTTGCGATTCACGTGTTGACCAACTTCGTTCCAACTTCACACACTTAATGAAGGGTAGGAACTCTTCAACATGTTGAAGTATCAACAAAATCGGATAAGAACAAAAATTGGTGGACATCAATATTGCCACTGGACAATGTATTTATATAATAAAATACAGCAAAATAACACACATTATTTGAAAATTTTGTGGCAAGGTGACACGTTGGATTTAACATTGTATACTACATTTCATATTTCGACGAATATTTTTGAGCTCCCGGTTCCTTAAATCTGCTAGAGATAACAGCAGATGTTGAATCTCGACCACCACAGGATGAACTGGATTAAAGGACTCCAGAGCCATGAGGGCACTGCGAGTCAACTACAACAAAGGAGGATTGACAACGAGAAAGCAAGAGACGAAGAGCATAGAGAATAGCATAAACTTCTGCCGTGAAGATGCTAGTCTCCGGAGGCAGGAAAGACACAGGTGTGGTCAGGAAAAACAACAGAGTAGCCTACACTGTCTGCAGACTTAGACCCATCAGTAAAGATGGAAATGGAGTGTGTAGAAAAGTGTTTAAGGAAAAGGCGTTTTAGAACTGTCGGAGGGGTAAAAGATTTCATGTGGGTCAAGTAAGTATCAAGAAGGCACCAAGCCGGGAAGGCTATGTAGCACCATCAAATGTACGGAATAATCGAGGGCTCTAAATATAGTGTTAAAGGAAAAGGCGTTTCAAAACTGTAGGAGGAGTAAAAGCTTTAGTGATGTGGGTCAGGGATTTACAAAACTTAGGAAGGGGTAGGTACCCTCCATGGGGGCAAGGACGGAACAAGTGAAATATTGGTAATACTAACCGAAAGAGAATCTTGGAGGCGAGACAACCGGACAGAAAATGGTGAAGGGGAACAGGAACTACAGGAGGGGGAAAAGTCAAACCCAGTGTCAACATACAAGCTGAGAGTAAGAGTTCAACGAAAGGCATGAGTTAAGAGTGAATGGTAGATACGCAACCTTGCCAGAGCCGTTTCCTGCCGGTAGGAGGGAGGCGACGGGCACATACTGCCAAGAGTAGAGTTGGTTACCAGTAACAAAAGACTAACAACCCTGCTAATGGGCAAGGATGGAGTAATGGATACTGGGTAAAAGTTAATAGGGGATAGCCTCCTTAGTGGCAGTGTCCGCACGCTCATTTAAGGACACCAATAGGGCTGGGAATCCAGCAAAACTACTGTCTTAATTAAGGGGCCATTAGATTAGTATATTAAAAGTTGTTCAATGTCAACCAATGTTTCGACTAGTCGTATATGAAAAGGGCTGCTATTGTTCAAAGTTTCAGTACTGCAGCCTAAATAAAAAGGGAGTTTTTTGTTTTTCAACGAATATTACACATTTTCAAATGTGTATATACAACCACACGTTTCAAATATAATCATTCTATGACACTTTTCTGACACATTAGCATATAATCAAGGATCTTAAGGAGATTTTCCAAAACATGTTTAGTTTTCCTAATACAAATAGTCAAAGTCCCCATGTGGATTTTTTTTATTCCCCCCCCCCAAAAAAAAATATATAAATGTAATATGTTTATTGCCATTATAAAATCAATAAATGAACTTAGGAAATTGAATAAAAAATGAAAGTTATACGAACGTTTATGTCGCTTTAAATAAATGAGTAAAAAAGTCTTAGGTGCTGCCATCTGTGGCTGAGGTTGACATCCATTTCCTGGCCTCCTTATAGATAGGCTTACGTGCCGTCAGGTGTGTACGTTTCATGTACAACGTCCTTTTAGAGAGAAAAAAGCATTTATATATACATATATAATATATATATACATATATAATATATATACATATGTTATATATATACATATATAATATATATAAACTTTTTAATAAGACTAATTACAATATTTTTTTGAAATATATGCTATTGTGATAGCCATGATTTCATTTGACACCTTTGTTTGATAATCGTTTTTGACCAGTTTGGAAAATCTTTGACACCTAATTCTATATTTTTTTCTCGATGCTGAGACTTGGACCAGATGAAACCCTTTTCATATACAACTCGTCAAATAAGTTTAAAATCGAACCATTTTGAAAAACGTACCTAATGGCCCCTTAAATCTACTGGAGATAAGGGAGGTGGTCAAGTGACCTTCACTTGAAGCTTCATAATTGATCATACACGTGATGCAACCCTAATGAGCCTTCAGCTCCCATTCTCTTCCACTTGAAGGTGCCATTAATATTCCAAGTCCTTTAAAAGGCACACAAGAAAATGTACAATAAAATATACACTTTTAATGTCACAAATTAAATGAAGGCACAAACATCCCCCGTGGTGTGTTTTAAAACTTCCTTCAATAATTTTGCTAAAATTAAAAAAGCCGATATATTTCAATTAAACAAAAACATATATACACTGTCGGTCAATTTATAATTATTCAGCAACATGAAATGTTTTTTTTAATTAACAGGAAAGAAGGACAAGTCACACTATTTTGACGAGTTGGTCACTTTTTACCAATAACATCGGATATCCAACCTTTCCCAGGTATGGAGTTATGGTGTCAAGATTTATATTACACAGGAGTTTGTGAAAATGCTGAGTAAATCTGTGGACAGCTCACACACACACGCACAGCTAATTAAATAATTGGTTTAAATTATACATTTGATAAGAAAGGCTCATTAAAAACTTCTCCACTGAAAACCACATGCGAAAATTTATTTGTCAAATTAAATTTTTAACAGAAACAAAGAAGTTGTTTTGTGTTGAGCGAGTGAGAGAAAGGTAGTGAGGAGGATGTAGCGACAGCATTGGAAGTGTTCTTACAGACTACTACTTTATATACCCTGGCTAACTCCTTCACAGTCTGTCCAGAGAATCACTCGAGGAGATTGTGTGTGTGTGGGTGTAGTTTTATACATCTGTAGTATCAAGTTTAAATATATGTTGAGATCACGTTCACACATACACACACACTTCATACATCTTGCATATTGGCATCAATATTATGTATAACCACTTTGAACAAAAAATGAACAAGGCGCACAGAATATCAGGATTATTAACATCATTTGAGAGCAATATTACATCATGAATATGATGACAACAGTTATGTCCATTTCAGCTGATGGAGCATAAACAAGAAGCTTCCACATGGCTACCTCACCAAAATACAGTGGAATCATAGTGGAACATTATACGACCAAGTTACAAGTTCATGGATACTGTACCACTGACATCCAAACCTTGCCCTGGAAATAATCTCATAATACACATTCAAAATATAAGCATAAATATCATCCTTGCAACATGGATCAGCACCTAGAATCAGTGAGATACCACTCCAACAATCATCTAAGTGCTCAATCACTGCCATCTGATAGTTTGAGTTCCTGAGTTCCCATGATGCTCACAATGGTTTTCACAATGCATTATTTCAAAAGAAGGACAGCCAGGACTCTATTCAATTACCTTGCACACTTTAGATGTAATGTATGGTAACATTGGTTTTCTACTGCTCATCAGCATAAGGCAAACTAGTTTCCACTACACTTCCGGTCGTGAACCATCCACAAGCCTACGAGACATCTAATCCTGGTGGCAACAAATTATTTATTTTGTCCAATTTACTAATTTTTTTACACTGCCACTTATTTATTCAACATCTTGAATGTAATTTCTCACAAATACAGGATGCTACATTAATAGAATTAATTTTCTAGTGAAAAAATACATTTCAATATTAAAAGGCTCCTGCACTATGGAAAGTCTGCAGATGCTTCAACCTTCTATGCCTCCCAAAGGGACTTAGTATTACAAGGATTTCAAAATTATAATTAACCTATTCTGAATAAAATTGCACAAAAAATAAATACCCAACCACAGCTGAATTACCTTTGGAGACACTAAACAGGGAAAATGGGAGAAAGAAAAGAATAGGAAGAAATTACATACATTGTAGGCTTCACATATGTTAAAAGTGTGCACACCTTGCTAACCAGCATTGACTGCACATTACCAATACATGAAAAACTCAGGCAATAAATTACTAAGGCTTATTTTCCCTGCTAAAATCATGAGAACGGACACATGGACCTCACTCCACTGGCAATCACACACAGTTACAACCTTACTATACAGTATGCACCCTTCAACACCAACACTCAAATAACTTTTACTTTTGCTAAAGTGAAGAGAAAAAATGGTTAAAGGTCATTTTATTGGATAATAAAAATAAAGCCTTATTGGTCTTAATGCTTAAAATATAAATGAAGTGGGGAAAAAATGGCATAAACGAGTCACAAAAACATGCGTTGAGAACTTTTAATTTAGATCTCTGTCCTGACAAATTTTTACGAGGGAAGTTTCAAGTGCTTGCATCTTTCCGAGGCAATTCAAGCATACTGGCCACACCACACGAGGATACCAAGTCACACAATGGGGGAAAAAATAGCTACAGTAGAATCTAAGTCATTGAAATACCATACAATAAAACAATACTGAAAAATCAATTTTCATTTTTTTAATGTGCAACAGGTGACAAAACTATCTCCAGTTTAAATTATCAAAAAACTTCCAATTAAGTCATTTAACAATAATTATTCTCCATGACTTACAGATCTATAAATGCCTTGGTATTATGTCAATTGTCAAGACAACAAAATTTTCTACAAATATAAATTGCATAATACCTTACAAAATTATTTAAATTCAAGCCAATCACAGTCTCTTCAGCAGTATCAAATCGTGGCCATCAGTTCATCTCACACACCAAATATGCATCAGTAAAGCCAATGTGCTCACACACAGGGATGAAAGCTATTTACTGGTCAAAGGTCGACTGACCATCTCTATCAACATTAAGTGAAATGTTTTTTTCAGGCTGGCTCTGTCTCGTTCTAAATCCTATATGGGTATTATATATCAAATTTTGCAAGCAATTTACCTGCCAAGCTGTACTGTGACTTGGGCTAAGCTTTATGCCCACTGGCCAATAAGCTATGAGAGACAAGAGCACAACTATCTGCAATTACAACAGGCAAATGGAAAATATGGAAGCCATGACTTTGTAATAAAATCTTTACTATCCAACATTCATATACAACCAAATCTCTGGTAGTGTAAATGCTTCTGTAGTGAGCACTTAAATAAAAATGTACTCGACATTGTGTATTGTACAACACAGAATCAAGCTCAGGATAGTTCACCAAGACGCACCACCAGGCAAGTCTCTCACTCACTCCCGTATACCAAATTAACAGTATATGTATTTCATAAAACCAAACCCTTGCTTTGGGTCACTACAGGTATGGACATAATTCACTTCTGTACAATTCTTGTCCTCGTGGTAATATTCGGTAATTATGATCTGACAATGAATCCAGCTGCAGGACACAGGCCATCCAAAGAAAAACACTCCCTAAACGACCAACTAGCAACACATTTATTGTCACACTTCTGCCAATGTAGCAGTTATTCCAATACATTAACACTTAACCACTGAAATGAGTGATAACACTCCATAAGTTCAACTTATCACTTGCATATCACCAAGGTCCATCTGAGGACCCAGCGGTAAATGTTCCCTGACCTGTTAAATTACCCCCCTCCCCCCCATGGGATTGGTCTAAAATGGAGGTTGTCACTGGCACACTCACAACCTGGATCACTGTGAGGACAGATGGCAGGGGAAAGACTATTATTCCCCTGGAATAGTCAATACTCTCATTGTTTCTGATGCATAACACCCCCCCCCCTTTATTTTCCTTTACAGGGATCAAGTAAAATTCTCACAATGTGAAGAAACTTGTTCCTTGGGTCACAGCCAAAATTGGTAGGTGCCAAGAATGCAACCATGTTTGTTGTTTACGACAATACATAAGCCAAGGAGTGGTCCACAGCCAAAACTTTTGGCCAAGTGTAGGATCCTCACTTTAGCACCAGTGAGAAAGCCAGCGTCCAAGACAAACTAATATGTTCTATGAGAGCAATGTTCGCATCAATATTTTTTTTTTTGATTCAGCCACAGTTTAAGACAAGCACTCGCATATACACAATAAGTGAATTAGCCACAGTTTCAAGGGTGCGACTTTCAAATTTTCAATAATGTACAAGGCTATCATAGTCAAAAATAAACTCTCAACTGTACAGGTAAGCAGGATTGCCCCACGTTTGGCACCGGTCACACTCTCCAGTTGGGCAAATTGCATACGGTAAACAGCACGGTCATGTCGTCAATATGTACACAAAATGGCAGACAGCGTAGGCACTGGAGAAGGAGGATGCAGCCACAAGCACTGCAGCAGCAGAACTGGGCAACTAGTGGGGTGTGGTATCACCAGACTGGGGACCTTGTAGAAGTGCACCGCATAGTAGCTGCCAAAGGACACCACCAACAATGCAGTTACACCCTCTTTGTATGTGTTGGTATGTGTATAGGACAAGGCAGAACCAGCCAGGGTGTTTACAATGTCTCGTAATCCCTGGCTGTAGTCCCCAAGCCTGGCGGGCGGCCTCTGTCTCGGGTAGTCGCTTTCACTTTCATCAAGTTCATTTTGGCGACTTAGGTCTGGCAGAATCCCGGGGCCTAAATAATGTAGTACCCCTTTCACCGGACAATCTATTTTCCCGTGGTGGTCCATCCCTTCTCATGGTTTTGCCATCTCGTTCACGGGCTATTAAAACTTTCTCTGGAAAAGCAAGAAAACATAAATTAAGCACAGGAGATACCTAGGTTGTATCCATCATATAAATAATTAAATGAAAACCCAAATGAAGAGTACAAAAGAAATACAACACTCCAGGTATTATATACTTAATATACAGTACATATATTCCTAACTTTGGTAGGGTGGGGGAAAGTCCCAGATTAACACTAGAACTCTTCGAACGTGACTTGCGTTCGTTTTTTTTTCTCCCCCAAGTCTTTGGTAGGGTGGGGGAAAGTCCCAGATTAACACTAGCACTCTTCGAACGTGACTTGCGTTTGTTTTTTTTTCTCTCCCAAGTCCAAGCATTGAACAGGTCTTGCATCTACTAAAAAAATTTATTATAAAATATATAATGCTTTTAGTATCCGATCAACTTCGGAATAGTTTCAAAATGAGCGCCTTTAGAGCACACAATTTGATACCAAAATGAAAGATGTAACACGAAACTATGTCAGAACACTTTAAAGATTATAATAAGTTTTTGGTCAAAATTTTAAAATATGTTAAAGTTCTATTTATTGTATTGTTATTATGGGACTAGTTTTAAAATGCGCGCCTTTAGCTTGCGAACAATTTGATACCAAAATGAAAAATGTAAACACAAAAATTTATGTCAGAACACTGGAAAGTAATACTTGTTAAAATTCCAGTTATTGCTCTATTATAATGAGAATAGTTTTAACACTTTCGCGCTTTAGATTAGAGATAACTCGTCGCCGTTTTTTCTTACAATTCCGCATAACAGCCGAGTTTTCTCGTCCATCGAAAAAATATTTCTATAAATTCCATTTTTTAACCGAAATGGATGGGGATACTTTTGTTTTGTAGAGAATTTATTTGCAAATTTTTTGGTACCAGAATGAATATTATATCACATAAACTTCTATGAGTAAAAAAAAAAATACACAAAGTATGTTTGGGGGTGTGGCGGGTGTGGCTCTGGGTGTGGCGAGCGTGTGGCAGTGGGTTCCCTTTAACCGTTGATATATCCAACACGTGGGAAATATTTGTATGTGTTATGTATATGTCTGTGTAGGGAATTTTACTGCGATCACTGTCATACAAATTATAAAATGTTTCAACAAGTATAAACATGACAAACATCAAACGAACGAAAACAATGCGTTCGTTTCTGCCGCGAACGCATACTGAGCGACGTGGTTCTATATTTGGCGCTTCTCTTACACATGCTTTGTACAAATGTTATACAGTTCATCTTATAGAAAATTTTATTGCGAACACATTGGTATAAAAAAGAAATACGTACATAGAAAAGTAGGGTCAGGAAACGTATAAACTTTCCAAGCATGATTTCCCACCTGTGTTTTCGCCAGTGCGCTCGCGGCTAACTACTCTCCACTTCACACACTCTTGCGGGTGGGCAATTACCTATATTAAACATTCATATGCATATGTCCGTGTAGAGAATTTTATTGCGATTCCAATGATACCAAAATTAGCGATGTAGGACAACTGTAGGCTTCGCAAACATTAAGAGAGTGGAAACATTTTGTTGCTGTTTGGCGCTCTCGGCGAGTGATCTGCATAGTTTTTTATTTGGTGTTGATACTCCTTATGCTTGGGCGGCATTTTATAGGTATGCTCTTATAGACAATTTCATTGCGAACACAGTGATACCAAATTTAAATACGTGCGCCTTCAATTATTGTCAGGACAGTCAAAAGAGTGTACACTTTTTCGGTCTTACCGCGTAGGCGCGCGAAGTGCCGAAAGCATCTGGGGTATTGTTTTTTTTTGAGCGCCGAGAGCGCGAAAGTGTTAAAATACGTGCCTTTATATTGCGAACAATTTAACACCAAAACGAAAGATGTAACACAAAAATCAATGTTATCAAACTGAACAAGTATACACATTAGGCCGAGGTGTGCAAATTGCTCATTCACTGGTAAATTTAGGCTTTGCTGCGGGAAGTCACGCCAGGCTTTTGGACATTATATGCTTATACACCTGTGGTGAATTCTATTGCGAACACAATGATACCAAAACGAATGACGTAACACGAGAATTAAGGCGAGAAAACTGAAACGAGTACACATTTCAGTGTCGCCGCTCGCTCAACCGCACGCTGGGTGCATGACCGAAGTGGGCGGCACGCATGCCCGGGGAATGACAGTGTTAAAAAGGCTCTAGTTATTACATGTAGCCATGTAGCTATGCCACTAATCATTGTTAGTAGGTATTACAACTTGCCAAAGGTGGTCTGCTTTGTGGTCTAAAGCACTTGTAATTGATAATAATAATGATAATAAATACAATATTGTATTTACAAAAAGCTACAATGGGTTAGCAAAATTACTTTAGTGATATTTTTACATTCTTGAAAAGCCACCAACATGCGTAACATTTCGGGCAATGTTCGGACATCACAGTAAATTCCTAAATTCAATATCAGCAATTCAATGCTGTTCACAATGTTCACAGCTCTAGCCACAGCACCACAGCATTATTTCGTCCATCTAGGAGTCTTCAAACGACATCTTAGGTTCCTTTACAAAATAAACTTGTAGTCACTTATTCATTTCCAGGAATTAGTGACCAGGATTGTGATGATAATTAGCACTGTGTGTAGTATTGTGGGAGGAGGAATTTTGGAGAGGGAAGGAGGGAGAGAATCGAGGTAGCGTCACTGTGTGGCAGCCACTCCTATTTTGCTCACCATACTAGCTTAGTGGTTTGCTATGGAGAACACACACATGTACATGGGAATAGACAATGTGTGTATATAGTGTAATAGTACTCCTGGCAGTATGGGTTCGAGTCACTTCTGGGGTGTGGCATTTTCAGTTGCATATATGCCTGGGGACCATTGCTTTTTCGCATTTGTGTTGCTCACGTACCATGCCCAAGATTACCATCAGAGCTCTGTCAGGATGATGAGCAAATAGCCTCGGCTACAATCATCTTTTGTATGGTCAGCAATGCATGTACGTTGATGAGCCATAGCATCCTTCCCCCGTCTCCCAGTCCTCCCCACCTTTCCCCTCGTCCTCCTAACCATTCCCCACTCCACCGTCCTCCACACCATCTCCCACTTCCCTGTCCCCTCGTTCTCCCTACCATTCCCCCCTCTCACATCCCTTCATCCTCCCCACCATTCTCTACTCCCTCGTCTGATGCATTCCCAAATGATTTGACGTTCCCATCAGAAAATTGGGAACACCAAATGATCTGATGTTCCCATCACTGACATAAGGAAAACAGTTAAAAACAAAATGAAAAATGAAAAAATTAAAAATAACTACTCACAAAATGAACGGTATGGTAAACAACACAGCCCAATTCCAACAAAGTAAAAAAATAAAATGAAAATCGAAATCTATGAAAATTTATTTTATCAATGAAATGTAATCATAATATACAGTAGAACCTCGAGTGACGATCGCCTCAAATGGTGAGCATTTTGGGTAACGATCACCGACAATTCGTCTCTTATGGCGACCGCTCACTTGAATGACAAGACCACAAGGTGGGGTCGTGCTGCTTCTCACACATTCTCGGACGCCTCCAACGATGCAAATAAATTATGTTTTAGTTTAAAGATGCCAATGATGCTGGGATATAAAGGGGTGACTGCCGAGATGTTGCAAAGCAATGACTTTTATAGGAAATTTTTTTTTTTAATAAACCAATGTCAAAAAATGTGCATTTGGTGTTTGGCAGGTAGGCTGCTCCATGTTTCTTAACAAAAAAAAAAAAAAAAAAGTCGAACAATTTGAAAAACGGACAAATGCCATAAATGTTCATTCAGTGTTTGTTGGGTAGGCTGCTCCATCATTGAGATGTAAATGAAAAATACAAAATAAATGGGACACATTTGAAACAGATTGTCATAATGGAGCAGCCTACCGGATTAGCAGATTCCAAAGAAAGGGCGAAAACAGCCTGACGGCAAGCAAGGAAAGAAGCATACAACAGAGACTGCCTCCTTCAGGATAGGCGCAAACTGCTTCAACTGTCCGCCCATTACAGCACACCAGACAAAGGCCCAGCACTCAACGCCTTCACACCCTCCTCAAGCCAGGAAGAAGTCAGCCCGAGAAGGGAAAAGCAGCACGAGACAAAAGCCAAATACCCACGAGTGCACAAATCTTCTGCAACCGAGGACGCCGAAAGGAAAGGGACTTGCATGCGCAGATGCACAAGGCCAACATCCTGAGAAAGCACAGGGGCGAAGAAGAATGCATTAAGGTGTTCAAACTAGCCCCCCCTGATAAACCTGCAGCATGGTAGAAGCTACCATTACCTAACAAAAAGAAGGGCAGTCTGCCATCCAGGAAGACCCCAGAACCTCCAAACACACCCAATATGTGGAGGAAAAACAGAACTCAAATATGGACATCCATAATGGAGGCAGATTTTGGGTCTTGCACCAAAAGCCTTCCGAACCTTCAACGAAAAACGAGAGGCAAAAAGCCTCAAAACGATGGGGCCAAGGAACCCAAGGGGGGTAAGTAAACCCCCTCTCCAAGCAACAACAAGCCCTGTGAAGAGGGCACTAACACCCAAGTGAAAGTCAAAAGAGGGCCCCAAGGCCAACTCCTCCCCAGCCCCAGGATCCCCCAAATTGGGACCTGGGGCATAGCAGTCTTCCATACCCTCATCCCCTGAAGGAAAGCAGAGCCCTGGAAAAAGGCTGAAAATAAGGGAACCTTCTGGAGGGACCCAGAAGCATGGCAGGAGCCACCGGCTCGAATGCCTCCGTCCCCAACCCAAATGGGGCAGCCCCTGAAGCTGCCAGTCTCATTACCAACCAAATCCTGCTCCGAATCAAACCCTCAGACGTTTGGGAGCCGGAAGCAGAACAGAGGGAGGGGGGAGGGGAAAGCTGGATGAACAGCAGGGGACGGACTAGGGAGCGTGGATTGAACAAAAGTTGAAGCGACTAACGCCCTCAGGTCCGGGTCCCTATAACTAAAAGCGGGGCAGCCGCAGGGCATCCAGGTGGGAAATCAACCTAG